TTTTAAGACAAATTAGTGTATTTTTAGTTATTTTTGAGAAACTTTTTTTTCGGAGATTTGTTCCGGAACTTATTAATATAGTATTTCACTGTGATAAAATGTTGATGTACCAAAAAAGTATATTTTTTCTAAATTTTAACCACAAAAATTGACATAGCTAAGTATTTTAAGACAAATGAGTGTAGTTTTAGTCATTTTTGAGAAACTTTTTTTTTCGGTGATTTGTTCCGGAACTTATTGGTATAGTATTCTACTATGATCAAAAGTTGGTGTACCAAAGAAGTATATTTTTTCTGAATTTTAACCACAAAAATGGACATAGCTAAGTATTTTAAGACAAATGAGTGTATTTTTAATCATTTTTAAGAGACTTTTTTTCGGAAATTTTTTCGGGAACTTATTGGTATAGTATTTTATTGTGATCAAAAGTTGATTTACTAGAGTCTGGCAGGCCTATGTTGCCAAAACACACAAACACACACCCATTCACGGAAATGCACAAGGACACACAAGACACAGACACACACAGACACACACATACACACACACACACACTCACAGACACAGAGACTCTCTCTCTTCTCTCTCTCTTTCTCTCTCCCTCTCTCTCCTCTCTCCCTCACTCACTTCCCTCTCCCTCTCTCCCCTCTCTCCCTCTCTCCCCTCTCTCTCCCTCTCTCTACCTCCTGTCAATCATGTTTCCACAAACAAAGGCCCAGCATGTAGCGAAGGCTTCAGTGCAGCTCAACAACACTGTAATCCTGCTTCCTCTCTTTCTCTCTCACAGCAGTGTAATCTGTCCGTGGCCCTGCCCATACTTTACTAATATGATTAGGCGCCGGTGGGTGAAGGGAGCCTCTGTGTCAAAAACTGACCAACATCACTGAAAAACTAAGTGTGGATCAAGAAACCTGAAACCTGGGCCCTCCACGGTCACAGAATTGTCAACGTGTCGAAACAGTCCAGACAAAAATGTCTTCAAAGACTTCCCGATGATGTGATTTAAAAATAGAGAGACAGGCCATCTGCCTCTTAGTTTAGTGGAGGAGGGAGGATTAAATCCAGATTATGGATGAAGTGTGCATGTGTGTGTGTGTGTGTCATCTGTGTGTCCTTGGATCCACAGACAGGCAGCAGGTTAGCTGAGCTTCCACTGACTTTGACTCCTAAATCAGAGCAGATAGTGAGGAAAGCGACACTCGTTCATTCAGAAAAAACATTCACCACAGTTGTGCAGTTGAAGATGGCGTTCATGCTGAAGAGCATGATTGGGAACCCCCTGTCAGGGATGGGGTTTGGTGGTGGAGGCGACAAAGAAGAGGAGGCCACTCCATCGGACCCAGCCAAAGCAGCAGGGATGACCCGCGAGGAGTATGAAGAGTACCAAAAACAGTTGGTGGAGGAGAAGTAAGTAGGAAGATAAAGGAGAAATAATCACATTTGTACACATTTGCAGTGAAAACAGTAAAGACACAGATTTGGTAATCTGACCTTGAGAGGCTGTGGTTTGTTTCATTAATCTTCTCTTGTTTAGCAGCCGCGATAAACATTACTATTTTTCAAGAAGTGCGACAATTTTATCATTTTATTTATGATGACAAAATATTTCTAGAGAAATCCAGCTTAAATTTATTTTTGAACATATATTTTTTTTCTTTTTACATAACAACATACAAAATTAGAGGCTTCGCTGGTTCCAGATCAATAATCCTTTATAATCCATCATTTGTTTCTTTCATCAAAAACTGGTTCTGATGCAACGTCATCATTAGAAATTGATTGTGAGTGAGTAAAATTTGCCCCTTTGTGGGCAGAAACACTACCGCTCGAGGGACAACTTTGTATTTTTGTATTTTTATATTTTGATAAATTTCTGCGATTCTTTTTTTAAATTTGGGCAAAAATGAATTTGAAGCACTGAATACATACTCTGAACCTACTAGAGTCTAGAAGGTATACTGAAATGGTACTGTAGTACTATCAGTTCTACAACATGAGTGTTAGATGTCTTGACCCATCTATGGTTTTTTTCTGTTTTTTCCCCCAAAACTTCTCAAATTAAATCCGTTGAACAGTGTCTAGCCTCATAATCCCATTCACAGTACACTTTAGGTAGAAGTACCAATAAGGGGAAATCAAACCAACACAGTTTTAATGGAGTAATTATTGTTATAAAGACCTAAAAAAGATGATTGAATGATGATTCACAAATTTTGGAGGTTCTGAATTGCTGGCCTATGTTCTCTTTAACAACAAAAGCCACATTTTAAATATACTAAAATAAGTACAAATATATTATTTTCTTAACATGTATCAATCTGTGCTATGTGAATGATGGAAACATATTTAAATGTTATCCAACTTTGTAATAGGACTAGAAGAAAGTCTTACAAATTTTAAGATATTACATCACATCATCAGCATAGTGTATATATTGTTGTACTGACAACAAAAAAACAAATAAAACTTCACTGTTGTTTTTGTATTGATAACACTGAGTTTTTCTCGTGGATTTGCGATTTAAGAATTCTTCTTTTTGTTGTTAATTTTAGGATGGAGAGAGATGCAGATTTTTTACACAAGAAAGCAGAGAGGGCGACACTGAGAGTGTGCCTCAGAGACAAGTACCGGCTGCCAAAGGTAGGCATATCCTGTATCCCGTTCATCCTGATTAATTAACCAGTTTTCCACAATAGTTAATGACTTTAGTTAACTTTGTCTGCATGAATTATGTCGTTCACGTCAGTCATCTTTAAAAGTTTGGAAATAAATAAATAATATGAGTGTTTAGAATAATCTGGTAATTTATGCGTTCATGGATTTGTTTCACCTGTATGCTTGGTTTTGTTTATTTATTTTATTCTTACAAACATAAAATAAATGTCATATGTAACTGAAAATAATATTGTGTAGTATCACATTGTGTCATGTGTGCATCGTACTGTATCTTATCATAGTGTATTGTATAGTATTGTATTGTATCATATTGGATCGCATCGCATCGTCTTATCTTGTATCGTATTGTGTAATGTGGGATTGGAGTATAACACTGAGTGCCAGCAGGTGGTGGCGCTGTTTTCTACTAATATATTGGCGAAAATCAAATTACCCGATATTTTGATACATACATTTTAAATTTAATTTTAACTTTTTGACTTTTTGACGAATGGAGGATTTTTATCTCTTTTGTTTACACTGACATTCGTCTCATCTAAAAATATCCTGCAAATCTCATCACCCACTTGATTCACTTTGGTTTTGAAACCAGAATTTAAGGTTTTCTATTATTGCACTAGCGCCACCTACAGATTCTATATGTAGTGGTAGACATGTTCTTGAAAAAAGAGAGTGTCGATAGATGGACGCAAGATCTGCTCAGCCTTCCAAGAGTGCAGTCAGGAATTAGACAAGTCTGTCAGATGCCGTTTCCCTCAGATGAGCAGGTTTCCATCAGGGAGTGTGGAATGGCTTTGTAGAAGGAACAGCAGGCACACGTCTGATTTTTAATTCTATAAAATACGGAGGATGGATGTAGGTTTTTCTTGAAAGACAACAGTCGAGAACCTTCAACAGCTCACAATAACCTGCTGCTGCATTCTCACTCTCTCCGTTTCTCCTTTTTCACTCCATTGTATGACTGAAGAGACAGCCTTGGCCTCGGTGGCGTTTCTAACACTTTCTGTCTTTTGTTCTATTTCCAGCTTTAAACAATAGCCAATCACTTTTGTCTTTAAACTGAACC